AATTTATTTTTGCAGTATCCTCTCCAGAGTCCACTTTTCTAGTGGTATTTCTCCTCGGGGTTGACGTGATGGAGTTGCAATCTTGCATCGTAGTTTTTACTCGATTGTTATTAGTTCACACTGTTTATTCCTCAACTAAGGTATCCACTTCATACCTGGGGCATGTCATTATAATTTCCCCTTTTACAGGTATCGTTGGTCTTTTATGACAAGAAGTGTACCAACAAAGGGGTCAAGAAAGGTATGTTTGTGATCAGCATAAGATTCTTACTAGACGAGATGTTTTCTCAAAATAGAATCCTTTATCCCCAGTGAAGGGGTACCATCAATTAAGTATGATCATCCCCCAAGTATAGTCTGCTCCTTCCCAGGCTTCTTGGGAGAATCATTTTTATTTACCGACTGGAAATTCTTGATATACTCCCCTCGAAGTCAACATCCTGCTTCCCTAGTGAGGTTGGTGTTCGTCTTCCCCATGAAGTTTGTATCCTTTTCTCCCCAGTGAGGTCTTCCCATGTCAGAATTGTTTGAGGAAGGTTTCTATTTACCTGTGGGAGATTCTGGTTGGTATCCCTATGAAAACGCCTATTATGCCCGATGGTGTAATTTATTCTCCCCAGTACAAGTCATGTGTCGATGTAAATCATGTAGGGACGATATCCCTAGCAGTGTAATGTATACATGGGAGTGCTGGTCATAATTCTTTTCATCCCTAGTGACAAAAGATGGTTGAGATATCCCTAGTGGAGTTCTGCTCCAAAAGTGTTTTCTTTTCCCCAAGTGAAGATTTTCACCCCCGACAGTAATATCCTTAGTGTGGTCCGAATAGAATTATTTTTATTTAAGAATTTCTATGATCTCCAGTAGAAGTTACCTTTATCAAGAAACTCTACTCGAGAAAGTTTCCATTCCCATCGAAGCTTTCCTTATCTTGATAGGAGGCCAGGAATTTGTTCCCCAGAAAGTTGAGAGTTTGATCTAAGTTCAAAATTTTCTATGGACTGCAATTTATTTTTGTGGTATTCCTCCCAAGAGTTTACTTCCCCAGTGATTTCGATCCTTGGGAGTTAATGCATCATATTTTCAATCTTCCATAGAAGTTTGGATTGATTATTCTCGTTAGAAGATCAGATGTGCAAGGATAATTGTCCGAAAGTTCCTTGTCTCTCTGGAAATTTTTATTACCATGCTTTTTCCCAGTGAAGCGTTTGGATATGCATCATTAAGCATGCATAATTATATTGCATTCTCAAAAATGTAGCATTGTAGAGAGCATTACGCTAATATAAAAATTCAAACATGCCTCGAGGTATAAGCCAATTATGATGTACACCCGAAATAACCAAATTGTTGTATGCTCAGATATGAATTACCATTGCAGCTTGTCCCCAGTGGATACAATCCTTTTCCCCAATGGAGTTCTATTTTGGCTTACAACTAGTTAGGTCTTTGGTACTTCCTTTTCCCAGTGATTCGTTGTTTTGTTTCCTTTCCATTGCAAGCCCTTGGTTATTTTACCCATATTTTCTTTGCTGTTAGGGTGCAAATAAGAGTTAGGGTATAACGTTTCTTACTTATCAAGTATTTGAGTATCCACACTTGGTATGTGGTAATTCAGATGATTGGCACACTTAAAGAATTATGCCCTGCCTTTGGCCTGGGGGATATTGTAGTTCTTGGGTAGCAACCTCCTAAAAGTCCAATATGTTTTGGCAATCCTTGGTATAGTCCCCCACGGTTGGTCTCTTTCTCATTTAAAGTTTGCCTTTAATTGGTGTTCTCTTTGAATCTGCTTTAGTAAGAGTCCTCATCCAGTTTCCCTAGTGGAATTTGTCATATTTCTACCCCCTGTAAGTCCATCTTGGATGGGTCTTCCTTATTTAAGAGTCTATCTTCGGTTAGTCCCCCTTTCATTGTTGAGTTCACCTTTGGTTGGTGCCCTCCGTAGGTTCTGCTTAGTCGGTTTCTTATTTTTGGTTTATCCGCATTAGTCGAGTTCTTCTTCTGTTAGCTCAGTTGACATTCTTCAGTCGATATCGCTTTGTTAGATCTCTTCCATCTTTGATATCTTCGGTTGAGTCTGCTTTGTTATGTTTCTTTCATCGTTGATATCTTCTGTGTGTCCAGTATTCCTATCGGACATGTATATTTGAGTTCACCTTTGATCGACATTCTCTGGTCGAAATCGATGTGTTACATTTCTTCCTTTCTTGATATCTTTGGTAGAGATTTCTTTGTTAGGTCTCTTCCATCTTTGATATCTTTGGTTGAAATTTTTGTGTTATATTTCTTCCTTTCTTGATATCTTTGGCCGAGATCACTTTGTTAGATCTCTTCCATCTTCGATATCTTCAGTTGAGTCCGCTATGTTAGGTCTCTTCCATCTTTGATATCTTTGGTTGAAACTGTTGTGTTATATTTCTTCCTTCCTTGATATCTCTGGTCAAGATCGCTTTGTTAGATCTCTTCCATCTTCGATATCTTCGATCGAGTTCGCTGTTTTAGGTCTCTTCCCTCTTTGATATCTTTGGTCAAAATTGTTGTGTTAAATTTCTTCCTTCTATGATATCTAGTCGAGATCACTTTGTTATATCTCTTCCATCTTCGATATCTTTGGTTGATTTCACTTTTTTAGGTCTCTTCCCTCTTTGATATATTTTGTTGAAATCTCTGTGTTAGATTTCTTCCTTCTTCGATATCTGGTCGAGATCACTTTGTTAGATCTCTTACATCTTTGATATCTTCGTTTGAGTCCGCCGTGTTAGGTCTCTTCCCTCTTTGATATCTTTGGTCGAAATTGTTGTGTTAGATTTCTTCCTTTCTTGATATATGGTCAAGATTGCTTTCTTAGATCTCTTCCATCTTCGATACCTTTGGTAGAATTTGTTGTGTTATATTTCTTCCTTCTTTGATATCTTTGATTGAAATCGGTGTGTTAGATTTCTTCCATATTTGGTATCTTCGATTGAGTTTGCTTTGTCAGGTCACTTTCTTGTTTGATATCTCTGTTAGATTTTGTTGTAGTTGACCTCTTTCTTGAGTACCTGGTCTTTTTTTCCTTGTATGTCTAACCCTGATCCGACATCTAAGAGATTCTACTTCCTGGTGACCATTATAAAAAAAAATAGAAAATAAAGAAAACCAAAAATAAATAATGCTCGACTGGCTTCAGAGTGCGAATTTTCGGATCTATTAAGTATTCAATCCTCTTTTACCTTAATTGTTCAAAAGGCTACTACCAATTTCACCCTCTGGTTAAAGAATATTGAATAAGGGCATATGTTTCACCCTAAAATTCTCCCTCTTCTTTTTCAATCCTAATTGGCTTATATTTCATTTTCATATGCATGGAAATAAGGTGTTTCTCTGCCAGAAAGAGTTGCGAAAATTGACTATTCCATTAAGCAGCATTGTGAAGTAGAACTCAGGGATTTCCGCATTTTTATGCACCCTGCACGATTCTCAAGCTATTCGATTAACAACTAAACAAGTCATCATCATATCAAGCTCGTATGCATCCAAGATGCTTTGAATTGCATAGAAAGTTGGGGTGTTTCAGTCGATTTAAGACAGTGCAGAAACAAATCCAGTATTGTGCGTTTCAAGCTCTGAAAATCATAACTTGAGATCGGGAAATGGTTTGGGAATGATTCTTCAATATTTATAACCGTCTTTATGTCTTCTTCATTTCATTTGTTCATGTCGAAGGCTAATTTTGTGAGGAAGATTTTCTAAAGCGCCAAATACTTGATGTGCGCTATACAGTGAATTTATCGTTTCTATGGTTTTCGAATGCTTAAAAATTTGTAACTTCTGAGTGGAGAATAATATTTGAGTGTCTCTTGGAGAATTTTAATTGTCTTGTTATTTCCTCTAACTTCCGTGTTCGTCTTGAAAGCCAATTCTTTGACGAAGATATTTGAATGCGCGAGTACTTTGAAGCTAAACAGTGAAAAAACTGTGAAAATATTGTGTTGAGCCGTTATTTTTCGGACGTTCAAAAATTCATAACTTTCACCCGGTTTAATGTTTTTTACTGGCTCTTTGGGAGAAAAATTCATTTTGGTTTTATATTTATTTCTTATGTTCGGATCAGAGGCCAATTTTGAGCCGAAAGTCCCCGGAAATGCGAATTACAAGAGAAATTTATTGTGCTGAAACAAATTTTATTCTATCGTTTCTTGATATTGTAAAATTTGTAACTTCTTCGATTTTTATTGTATCGAGACGTTTCTTGAAGCATAATTTCACAAATTGTGCTAGCTTCAACTTTGTTTCAAGTCCCGAGTTCGGATTGTGCTCCGAAGGCTTTGTTTTACGACTCATTTCTCGATGTGCACATGGAAATAAATTTAAAAAATATGCTTTATCAAAAAGTATAGCGTCAGAGCCCATTCAAAAATTCATAACTTCTTCGATTTTTATCGTACCGCTTCCATTCTTTCTGAATTGCGTCACAAATTTCAGCATCTTGATTTTTGCTTCAGGGCTCGAGTCGATATTTTGCACCGAACAATGACTTTGTATTTTCATCTTGTGTTGTGCATTGAATGTATTGACACTACTAAATTGAAGCCCAGTTCAAATCCAAGTCCAACGAGCAATTGGTGGAACTATATATTGTTTTTCTCTTCACAATTCAAGGAAAAGAAAATCATTTGTTAAATTACTTACAAACTTCTCACATTTCCCTCTTTATACTCTCAAGATCTAAACACCTTTTCTCTCTCTCAATTTCTTCATAAAAATTCAAGAACACCAACAACAAAAATCAAAACTCATCATAAATCTTCATTTCCATCACCAATTTTCGCAAGCATCCGATTCTGCCTTTCCTCCACTACTGGTCTGCCACCACCGCTTCTGATCTGGCTCTGGCGACCGAACGTAACTTCTCCTCCTTCCGAAGATTTTTCTGGCGGTCCATTCTCCCTCTCTTCACAAGTTTCAACCAGCTTTGATCTTCATCTTCTCCAATTCTTCACTTTTGTAATTAATTCTTAAGACTTTACTTGAGTTGATTTTGAATTTGATGTTTCTTGAAGCTTAGATGTTTGATTAAATGCTTGAGACATGATTACTTGATGTGAACTAAATTTGAGATTTGAATCTCGAAAATTAATTGTATTATTGAGTTTCATTTGATTCTTGAATTTGTAAATGATGATGAGAAGTGGAATTGGTTGAACATTATGTGAATTCATGAGTTTATTTTAATTATTGAATTGACTATAAGCATGAGTTAAGTTTGACTTAATTTCTTGAGTTGATATTATAATTATTGTTGTTTCCGAATCATGACTTTTGGTGTCAAATTATACCGGAATTTTGGATTGTTGAATTGTTGTTGAGACTTAACAGTAATGCATGATTTAATACAATTTTTCAAATCGATTTGTTGATGAATTTAATTCTTTGATATAAAAAACCTCAAATCTGATTTAATTGCATTAAACATGAATATTGTTTATTTTAGCTTGGAATTAAGGCATCCTATGTGAGTTAATTGTTTGTAATATATTTACAATTCCAAAGCAATGATACTTGAACCGAAAAGTGTGTTTTCGTGTCAATTTGCAATTGTTGAAACTGATTTCGACCGATATCAGTTCAAGTATGTATGGTTGTCTGAAATGTAAACATGTCACGAATTGCTTTTCATAATTCATTTGAATTTTGTTTGCATATGTTTATGCATTTATGGACCGTTTGTGTTGAGAAAATACCATTTTCGATGTGCTTTTTCAAGCCATTCTTGGATATGGCGCAATGCAGCCCGGTTATGATAAGTTAGCATATGATTTGACTTAATTGATGGTTAATGCTCACGGTACTTGGTTTTGGTATTTGGATTGTATTTATGTCAAGTTTTACCGTTTTCAGATTGATTTTTATGCGGTTCAAATATTAATGGCAAGGCTTCCCGGGATTGGTAAGTTGCACTTGCACTTGGATTTAATTCACGTTTGATACTTAGTTGATCTTGTCGGTATGTTTGGAGGCTACCGTACCATTTTCGTGCATTTTCATTTCGACTTTTCGTGCACCTAAATATTAAACACAATGTTGTCCGATTTTCTTTACTAAATGTACATTGAGTTTTGGTTTTCACATGATGCATGTTTGCATTTTATTGTTAGATTATGGATCATTGTGGTTGAGTTTACTTGATTCCAGTGCGTTTTTCGGGTGAATTCCTAAAATGTATGTAGTGCTGCCCCGTTTTCTAGAGTGCACCTGGAATTTGTTTCAATTATTGGTTTATGATTTATTACACTTGTATTGATCTTTTTTGGACATTTTCATTGAGTTGTGTTTATTTCGGACCAACATTTTGTGTGTTTCATTTGTTAGACGGTGTGGCAAGTGATCGTGAGGGAGGGTGAATAGATCACTTCTTCTTTTTCAAGGATTTAAAAATGTTTTATCAAAGAGAGTTGAAAGCAGCAAAAATCAATGTCCTGAATCAATTCCGTCTATTTTGAACTGATTACTAGAAAGCTTGACATGTGAGATTTTATTGAATGGAATGGATGAATATACAACTCAGAAATCTCGACGTTTCAATGCACTTATCATAAAACAGAATTTCCAATGAATTTAGAAATATAATAGGAATTTTGTCAAACAATTGGCGTATGCTTGTATAATGATTTAATATTGGTGATTTGGTGAAAATGTTTGAGCCACAATGTTTATCATTAGACTGTAAAACTTAGCACGCCAATTGAATTACAAAATTATAGAATATGTAAAACTGTAAAGAGAAAGAAAAGAGAGAACGATACGCATGCAGTTTGGTAAGGAAGTTCCTCACAGTCGTCCTCGTGTGTGGATACGTCTCCCTTTCAATTTCACAATCGAAACTGAGAACTTTTATATCAATATGCTGAATGTTTAATAGCAAGGTTACACTACACAAAAAGAAAGAAATCCCTATGATCTTCTTCTTCTTGTAAGAACCACCACTTGATAAGAGCTGTATCAAGATTCCCTGCAAAGTCACCGAACGATCCTCCGCTTCCACGACCTGTTTGTTCAAAATCCTTCTGATTTCCAAACCCCTCGCTACGGTTGAATCCGACTCGCGTGACTGTGACTGACAAAACCCTCCAGAACACACCCTTTCTTGAAGGACAAACCCTCTGGTTTATTTCTTGAAGCTTCCTCTTCAACCTTCAACTCAGCTAGACTTCTTCAATACTCAGCTGAACGTTATCTTAAACCGCTTGAATCAATTCAACAAGGATGTTTGATTTTCTTTGTTGTTCTTGAATGTAAGATGGTTGAGAAGATGATGAAGATGAAGGAATCAAAAGCTTCTGGTTGCTCACAATTGTTTTGCACACAATATTCTATGCTGCTATATGATTTCTGAACAAAATGCTTGCTTATATTTATAACAGAAAACGGTTAGTTAAAAAAAGAGAGTGCATGAGTCGATGCATGTTGGTCATGTGTCGACTCATGTTAGTTACATGTAACAGGATGAGTCGATACATTATGTTTTGAGTCGATACAAAAACTTTTTACAATATTTTACAGAACCAACACTTTTATACCCGTCGACACATAATCTGTATGTGTCGATACATACTGATTATAAATTCAACTTTTGAATTACCCGTCGACACATAATGCGTATGTGTCGATACATACTGATTGTAATTTTAACTTTTGAATTTAAAACATAGTATGAGTCGACACAGGTTATTATGTATCGATACATATAAGTTTCAAAACGTTTTCCAGGATCATCAGAATGTTTTGTGTCGATACATAAGGTTTTGTGTCGATTCATACAAGTATTACAGGGGCATCAAAATATCATGTGTTGATGCATGAAATGTATGTATTGATGCATGCAGTTTTTAGATTTACATTCCAGGGCATCAAAGAGTTATGTATCGACTCATAAGCTTTTGTATCGATACATAATAGTTTTGAGATACAAGTCCAGGGACTTCAGAAAGCTATGTATCGATACAAAACTTGATGTGCGACACATAAAGATGCATTATGAGAGAAATGTAATTTTGGCTTATTCAAACATGTTATATTATATTTGCAATCATTTAAAATCAATCTATGAAGGGGTTTCTCACAAACTCCCCCTTTTTGATGATGGCAAATATCTGATGATGTGTCGTGAATGAAAAAAGCTTGCTCCCCCTGAGTTTGTGTATCTTCTTCCTAAGAAAAAAAAGCTTGCTCCTCCTGAGTTTGTGTATCTTCTTCCTAAGCACAATCTTCACTGACACACTCTTCTTCTCCCCCTTTGACCATATCAAAAAGAGAATAAGCAACATTTTCAAGAAACTCAGCACATAGGAAAATTTATATACAATTTCAGCAGTTAATGGACTTGGCATTCACACAGAATGTCAGGCATAAAGTTATCAATAAGTGAGTAAATAGCAGAGTAAACATAAAGTAATCACGTTAAAAGTAATGCATTGGTAGATAAAAAGTTAGATTACATAAGCACAATTTATGTAAAAGAGATATACGAAGACATTTTCAGTGAACATTTAGATCAACTTATAGGTGATTGAGGGTGAAGATAGGAAGGGTATTACCTCGTTTGATTTGATAAGAGAACACTCGTACTAAAGCTGAAAAAGCACATCTTAACAGTATGGTGTGACATAGATATATTTCAATTACATATATGTTTAGGACAACACGTATGAGAGATCTAAAATCCCTAGCCCACGGCAGATGTTGAAGATGTTCGTTGCAAGTGGTTTTGTAAAGATGTCAGCAAGTTGATTTTTAGTATCAACATGCTCAAACGTAACATCCTCCTTTTCAACATGATCGCGTAGAAAGTGATGTCTAATTTCTATATGTTTAGTGCGTGAGTGTAAAACTGGATTCTTAGTGAGGTTTATAGCACTTGTATTGTCACATTTGATTGGAATACGTTTTAATTGAATATCGTAGTCTTGTAATTGTTGCTTCAGCCATAAGATCTGAGCACAACAGCTACCGGCTGCAACATATTCAGCTTCGGCAGTTGACAAAGCAACAGAAACTTTCTTTTTGCTATGCCAACTTATTAAAGAGTTTGAAAACAAGTGACATGTTCCACTAGTGCTTTTCATATCATATTTGCAGCCAGCAAAATCAGAATCAGAGTAACCTACTAAACTGCAATCACTTCCCTTGGAATACCATAGCCCATACTTAGGTGTATTATTGAGATACCTAAGTATACGCTTGACAGCTTTCAAGTGGGATTCCTTAGGATCCGATTGATATCGTGCACACATGCAAACACTAAACATGATGTCAGGCCTAGATGTTGTAAGATACAAGAGTGATCTGATCATACCTCTATATTTCTTGACATCGACACTCTTACCGTGTTCATCCTTGTCTAAGTTTCCGTTGGTAGGCATGGGAGTATCAATTGGTTTAGAGTTGTTCATCCCAAATTGTTTAAGCAACTCTTGGCAATATTTTGTTTGACATATAATTGTGCCTTCATTGAGCAGCTTTATTTTGAGACCGAGAAAGTAGTTGAGCTCCCCCATGAGGCTCATCTCAAATTCACCCTGCATGACTTTGGAAAATTCCTCGACCAAGTGTAGATTAGTTGAACCAAAAATAATGTCATGTACGTATATTTGAACTAAAAGGATATGCTTTCCTTTACGTTTAATGAAAAGGGTAGTGTCAACTTGACCTCTTGAATAGCCGTGATCAAGTAGAAATTTACTAAGTCTTTCATACCAGACCCGAGGAGCCTGTTTAAGACCATATAAAGCTCGTTTTAATTTAAATACATGATCTGGATATTCGTTATTTTCAAAGCCGAGAGGTTGTGAGACATACACTTCTTCATTTATGACTTCGTTAAGAAAGGCACTCTTTACATCCATTTGATAAAGCTTAAAATCTTTTGCACACGCATAAGCGAGCAAAAGACGTATAGCCTCAAGGCGAGCAACTGGAGCATAAGTTTCCTCATAATCAATGCCCTCCTCTTAGTTATACCCTTGTGCTACCAAGCGTGCTTTATTGCGGGTTATCGTTCCGTTTTCATCAAGTTTATTTCTAAAAACCCATTTATTGCCTATGATATGATGGTCTCGCGGACGAGGGACAAATTCCCAAATATCATTTCTTTTAAACTGATTTAGCTCATCTTGCATGGCCATTAGCCAAAATTCATCAATCAAGGCCTCTTTAGCATTCT